GCGTGGTGGGGGTGTGGTGTGTAGAGGAGAAGGTAGGGAGAGAGAGCAGACAGAGGCTGCCTGGGACTGGGGTGCCATCAGGGAGTGACGGCCAAGGACACAGGGCCCTTTCCAGGGTGATGGGGAGGCTCCAACCATGCCCGGGGGTGACAGCTGCACAGTTCAGTACACTCAGTACATATCACTCTATCACTTAGGGGTCTGCTTTTACTGGGTGGGCTTTATGACATGTGAATTGCATCTCAATGAGGTTGTGGGAAACAGAACTGGGGTCACAGATGTCCAGGAAGAAGGAATGACAGGACGCAGTGTGGACAGGACAGAGGATGGTCACAGCATTGTTTAAAATTTCAAAATAAGTTAACTTGTGATTAGAAAGAAAATTTTCAATACAGAGCGTAAATGGTGCCTCACACTGACCAGAACCAGTTCCCACCAACACGGGCCCTCCCTGCCTGGACACCGAGGGTGGACAGCGCGGGCAGCACACACAGCAGAGTGAAAGCGAGTCCCGCGGTCACAGCCAGTGCTCCAGGGCAGCGCTGTCGGCCCCGCCCAGCGGGTCGTACCTGTGGTTTAGGATTTCCACCGTCCCGTACTGCTCTATCCAGAGCTTCCCGATAATCACGTTGTGCACACAGCAGGTAGGGTTGGTCCAGGTGTAGGCCTCATTGTGTCTGTCAGAGACCAGAAAACACGCCTGTCAGAGCCAGCAGACACCGCGGGGAGGGGTGGGGACAGGAAAGCAGCAGCGGGAGTAATTGCCCTAATACCGCAGCAGAGAGCACTGCTTTGAACTCCCTCCAACAGCGGCTCCTTACTTAGCATTCGTTTGAAATTTATTTCTTCTTCCCTTTGTAGCAACAACAAAGCTTTCTACTTGATATCAATGAGACTGAGACAAAGAGCTCTGCTGTGAGGATGTGAGAGCCACCACCTCCTGCCAGGTGCTCCCAGTGGGATGCGTGGCCTGCGTGAGCAGACACCAGGGAGGCTGTGACAACAAGCTCGGTGCAGGGTATCTCATGACAAATATTTGCAATTCCTTGCATCTCCCAGTTGGACCCAAACACCTGAATCAACAAGGTTTGCAACCTTTCCACTCTACCTGCCTTGTCCCAGGAAAGTGAAGACCACCGGACAGTCTCCCTAAAGTGCTGCCCCCTCCCCACCCCCCGCCCCAGGTCCCCATGTTCCCCTGGCAACCAGCCAGGCGGGGCCAACAGGGCACAGATTCCATCTAATGCTCCGCCCACGGTGCTGCCACAGCTCAGAACCCTGCCTGCGGTGGCCTGGGCTCTGCAACAGCTCTGGGGATCAGGCCGACGCTACAGACTCTGCTTTTGAGCGCTTGCTTTGAGGTGCTGTGGACGGAAAGAGGCCACATGCTAATCTAATTCAGGGAAGGCCTGCATGGTGGTCTTGCAAACTCAGAGACCCAGAGGAACCTCAAAGGATGGTCTGAAATTAAAACCTTTAATTAAAAAGCAGTTTATAGTGGGTAGTCATGTCCTAGGCCAGTATCTTCCCTGACAATGATCAACTTCGATCTTTATTGGGCCTTTTGTCTTTTTGCTTCTAAGACAGTTGTTCTCAACCTCCTGGCCCTTTAAATACAGTTCCTCATGTTGTGACCCAACCATAACATTATTTTTGTTGCTACTTCATAACTGTAATGTTGCTACTGTTATGAATCGTCATGTAAATATCTGATTGCAGGATGGTCTTAGGCGACCCTTATGAAAGGGTCTTTCGGCCGCCAAAGGGGTCGCGACCCCCAGGTTGAGAACCGCTGTTCTAAGACAACGTATCACTGGAATGTCAAAGTAATTTCCCATTTTCTGGACCCCCAAAGCACAGGCACCACTCTGTGGGGACCACAAACCCCCGTTGTTATTAATTGTTGAGTGTTAACCATCCTGCACTCACCTGTGTAAAAGAACCATGTGTCCATCATTTTTCTTTTTATCCAATCCAGTGTCCCGCTTGGCTTTCTCCACTCCCTCATCCTTCACCAATGGATTCCCTGTGACCCGCCTACGTCCCTCCTTGATTGTCATGTATAAACAAGGTGCAGAGCGCTGTGCTCCACGATCTCCCCACGTGGAGGTTCTGCTTCTGGCCATTGTCCAGTTTGGCTTAAATAAACTCACAAAAACTCGCCACAGGTTTGAGTGTTTCTTACGTTGACAGTGTTTTGATCGACATCAGATCGGGGGCATTTAGATTTAGGCTGGACGGGGTGGGGCAGCCTCGAAGGTGCCCCTCGCTGTGTTCCCCGGAATCCACCCCTCCTGCACTCAGCAGGGTGGGTCTGTGTGACCAACGCACACGTGTGGGGAGGGTCGCAGTTGAGTCATTCCTGGGTTAGGTCATAAAAGACACTGTGGCTTCCCTCCTGGTGGCTTCTCCCCTTGCGCCCCCGGCTCTGAGCAATGTCAGCACCAACTGCCAGGGAAACAGGTGCTGTGCCCAAGTCCTGACGCCAACTCCCAGAAGCCCGAGCATAACCCCCTGCACAGGTCCCAGCTGCTCAGAAACCACATCCTGAGCTGCTGAGTGTGGGGTCTTCACACAGGATAGGTCACTGCTACAAGCAGTGCCCGGAGTATGTCCAGGGCACGTGGGAGCACGCCAAGGCCGAGTGGGGCAATCCAGGTCGGCACTAACAGAGGGAGCAGACTCGGGAGGGCTCTGCTGCTGGCAGGCAGCCCCCCGGCCACTCCGCACGCGGTGACCTCCCTCCAGAGAAGAGCCCCCCGGAAAGAGGTTTGCTTCCACAAACAGCTGCATGGCTGGCGCTGGCGGAGGCGGAGGGAGGCGGCTCAGGCCCAGGGAGGCTCACCTGAGAAGCTCCAGTGTGATGGTGCCCCGGGGCTCCGC